TGGCGGGTCAATTCGATTGGGGACTAGTATTTGAAACAAATTACCCACCTCTCGTTATCTTGACTATGCTTCCATTCTACATTAAAGGCAGTTGGCACGATAAATCCCCCAAGACGAGTAGGATTAATACGCCTGGCAGGACGGAATTCCGCGACCCTGAGCAGGCGCTGCATAATGCCTTTTCCAAGGGAGGTGCCCTTATAAGGGCCCTATCAAGCCACAACATACCGACCCAAACGCCCCACGCCCGCCCGCCCACAAATGGACGACCGTTCCTGACGCTCTAATCGATTCATTTGCAAATTATGAAGCGAAGGGATTGGTATGAAGCGGCCGTGATGCTGCATGGATATATGGGTACACATATGCAGCCGTACCTTCGGTAGCGGTTATTGGCAAGATGCCTAGGAAACTCGTCCAAAATTGATTTCTAACACATTGAGAACGAGGCTCTTTCTTCGCAGGATTTTGACCGTTTCACTCCGTTCTTTCGCCATTTCCCCACTATATAGCGCCCTACTAGCATTTTAGGCCGAGCACCAAATCATCGTGCCAACTTAAGCATCGCACATCCAGGACATCCTCGCCGTGGCTCCGAACTCCATAGCGTTTGCGTCCGTTCCTTCGACCAAAGCTTAGAACGCAGACGGTCACAGTCGTGTAGAGACTGTCTGCTCCGCCAGAGAAGTCTGCAACGAATCTGATCCGTGTTCGTTACACCTGACAAGGTCGTCCTGCCATCGGGGAAAAAATTTTGTAACATATGACTCCTGCCCTCGCCCCCCCCCTTTTTTCGAAATATCCTCGTCTGGTACGACCTCCTCATACCCTATCTTTGCAAGATGTGTGACAAGATTGCTAGGACTAAGGACTTTATTTCACGTATCCTCGACTCTTCTCCTGTACTCTTCTTGGCTAGAAAATATTGAAAAACTGTTATTCGTGGGTCGATGTAGATATTGTGATTGTCGTAGATGTATTATGGCCTGTCCATGGCTCCGGTTCTACCCCACTTGGGTCCAATCCTACCCAGTTAAATCAAACTGAGCTGACGTATGGTGTGAATTTAGTGCGGATAGCGAATTAGTCATTTGAGGACAAGTGACTAGTTCAACCGTCTTTTAGCACGAATAGTTTCACTGTTTAGGACCAAAAACGATCCAGCGCCGAGCTCGCATCTCCTCGAGAAAACGGTTGCGTATCCGCGTTGGAAGGTCGGAGAGAGGGAGAGGGAGCGGGGTCAGATCTATCCTGCGCGATTGTTCAAAGATTTTATTGATATTAAAATTCTCGGCATTGTGGGAACCAACTCCAATACTTTTTGTGTCCTAATGGGGTTCATGTCCTTGTCAGCAGCTCGAAACAATTTTTCGAGGGCCAAATAGTTAAGGCTGAAATCTCCCTACGTGAGCATGACTGGAACCTAGCCTTAATCTTCACATGACGGACGGCAAAGGATGGTTTATGCCTAGAAATCGAAAGCACAGCTTTTCAGCAGAGAGACTGGCCAGCTTCGACCCGCGTCGGTCCCTCAGAATAGAAGGTACATAACAGTAAAGGAACATTCTCGCTTCAAACGGAACCATCCTGGTTAGGTCGACAAGTAGAACCCAGAAATCACGCGACACTTTCTCGCAATGCTTATCACTAACAAGGGAAGATGGTAGGTCGAAGTGGCCATTTGAAATGAAATGTATACCGGCTGAAAGGTCTTCGGACGGGAATTACGAAACCGTGTTCCATATCTGCTGCGGACCTCCCAGAAAGAAGTTACGGAGCTTTTTTGGGGGAGAATCACTACAAATTGGCGGCGTAAGGCTATCGAGATCGTGGCAGCATGGCCGAGTGGATACGTCGCAGGGCTCACGGATCAGCGTTCGTAGGGTTTGGCATCCGTGATGCGTGTATCTTGGTGCATTTTTCGCGAAAGTGCGGTTCCCTTGCTATTCTTGCAAAGCATATTTGCATAACACTTGTCCATGATAATGTCGTGATGTAATGATTCTGAACTGATGGAGCCATTGCGAACGATTTCATGGAGATCACCTCCGGCTGAAAAGATTGTCATACGAGCCGAAAACTTCCAGCAGATACGAAAACTCTTTGAGATAGACATAATTCAACATTATGCCACTGGGAATGAATGAAGCTCTTGCCCATCGCGATTCAGCCATGATTGCCGCCGATAACGCCACTTAATTATGAAGCATTTCCCCACATAATGCACTCTCCTTCTCTCCTCCACACTTCGGATTCGTTTTCCGGTATGTCCTTTGGAGCAATAAATCATTTCGAAGGCAAACAGTTCTTTCTTTGGAGCTGCACTGTTCGTTGTTATAGCTTCTTCAATCAAAGAAAGAAGGAGCAATCAGCAGAACAGTGATTTCTATTGAATGGTTCGCAATGGCTCCATCAGTTCAGAATCATTACATCACGACGTTATCATGGACAAGTGTTATGCAAAATGGCTTTGAAGTGCACAGGGGCCACTTTCGAAAAAATGCAAAAGAGCATACGCACGCATCCGTGAGCCCTACGACGCTATTCAACGTCGACTATGCTGCCACGATCTCGACAGCCTTACGCCGCAATTTGTAGTGATCCATCCCCAAAAAAGCTCCGTAACTTCTTTCTGGGAGGTCCGCAGCAGATATGGAAGAGGGTTTCGTAATTCCCGTCCGAAGACCTTTCAGCCGGTACATACATTTCATAAAGTAATAGGCACTTCGACCTACGCATCCTTCCCTTGTAGTGCATTCGCAGCGCAGTGACAAAACAACTTTTGCTTCTTACATTACATCCCATTCTGAGTTTCCCGAATACCGCAGGCGAGCTATGTATCACGGATCGCAACATTAAATTTGCGAACATTGGAGTCTCACTTCAAACAGGGGGGCAAAAAAAGCCACTCCGTGCCCGAGTCACATATAGCAAATTCTTCGCAGCCCAGAAAGAAGCCGTGGGCATCGATGTCCAGGTTCGAAATTACTCACCCAAGATGTTCCGCGGATAAGCAGGAATAGGCTCTCGCCTATCACCTTCATGTACACCAAAATATGAAGTCATCTCCAGTCGCAGCCTGACTGGAGAAGACTTTGGAATTCATGTCATCCTCTTGAGTACCTGAAGAAAGACGCGAAAATCCACATTGCGCACCCTCTCAATTACCCAATTCCGGGCGGAGTTCAGTAGGGTGGTCTATAGTGGCGGAGAAATCAACGATCTCGCTGAACTCAGGTCCACGGTCGCGTTGCAGGATTTCTCGATGGCGCTCCTCCAGAAGGTGTGGCGGAGTAACATGATAGTATTGACGTATAGCTCTTTTGACTATGCTGGGGAGAAATATCCGATCAGAATTTAATAAAGTGTAACTTATAGCGCCTCGAAAGTCAAGGAAGAAAAGTGGCTGTTTTTTGCCCTCTCCTGTATGTCCACACTGCTACATTCATGATGGTGCAGTGGGATGGGAAAGCCGTTCATTTTCACGTAATTGGGGATCGTAACAAAGTCCCTGTCAGGTGTTAGGCACGCTAGATTTGTTTTGAATATTGATCTCTCTCTCGCGTAAAGGTTCTATGAGGCTTTTCAACGCGACCTTAGGTGTCAGAACCAGTTCGACCTCTTCTGGTTTCAAGAAAGTCCGAGCTGCGAACTCGAAATTTATACTTAGCTATCGGCAGCAACCGTGCGTTGACATTCACTAAGGTCCCTATCACGGCTTACCCGCATGAGTTAGTCTACTCTTCCCGATGACGGGGCTTCCAAGCTCAAATTAGGCTGTGCGTCCAGGCCCCCTTTGCCCATAAGTCAGCACTTTGTGATAATTTGCGTATCGTGAACTGCGGTGATAACCAGCACTTACTATGGCAAGACTAATAGTAAATCGGAACATCATGTGACTTCATCACTCTTGGACCTGAACTCCTTTAATTCAGCGGGATACGTGGCGTATCTCAAAATGTTCATTCAGGCATTTTCTTTCTTTACTCTCTGTGTAAATAAGCCGAAGGCATTGTAATCCATTGAGTCGGTAAAGACGTTTCGTTAAGCAAAAAAGAAGTATGAAGCAAGTTCCCGAACAGGAAGCAATATTGATCATTTCAGAAGAACGTTTCCAACAATGGCGACACTGCGAATGAATGGTTCCGTAAGTGCTTACAGATTTTGGTTGCTGAAACACAGTATAAGCTTCAGCCAAACTAACGTTCCTTGGAGAGGGAGTGACCACTTTGCCTTTCTGATATCAGCTTATCAGACGACTTTCTTTGATCAAAAGTACAGTCTACACTGGTTATGAGGGCGTGGATGAGCTTACCCTTCCTCATTTATCGTGTTAGAAGGGCACAGATGAAGAAGTCGGTGTGCTTGATGCGGCTCCTCCCCTATGCATGCCGTGGAATGTGACTTTAAATGATTCCCGCACCGATAGGGTGAGCTTTCTGAATGAGGATGAGCCCGTGACTGAAAACGGGAGGGCTTCCCCTGTAAAAATGTGATTCTTAAGGCAGATTCTTCCGAGTAAATATTTCCATTCAGAACTGTGACGTTACAAAGTTCCATTCCAGTTATAGAAGAGCTTTTTGTTTCGTAGTTTGTTGCCATTGAGAAACAGTGTAATAAAATGTAAACAGGAACGATGGCACATTCTTTACCCTATTTGACGAAGTAGAACTCTCTTCAGTGACATTCTTCTGGGCAGTCGCACTCTTGTAGGCCCCCCTTTTTGACTCTCTCTCTCTCCACTCTCTCTCTCTGTCGTCTCTCTCTCTCTCTGTGTGGTGTGTGCTGTGTGTGTGTGTGTGTGTGTTGTGTGGCGTGTGTGTGTGTGTGTGTGAATGGGAAATTACTTTTTTTTGAGAAGAACAATTCATCAGTTTTCTCTAACAAAAATGAATGAATCAAGAGGAAATCCTCATTCTCCTTAAAAAAAATGGTTTATCATAGAAATAATGATTCAGCGGTGTGAATAAGCCTTTTTGTTTGTCTATTCAATATATTTACAATAAAAAGCTCTCTGGGAAAGCTGCTGGCTAGTTTTCTGGTTCCTATTGTCATAACGGCTTTAGCTCGCATCGAGCTCCGTGCAGTCGCTGGTTACAGTGAGCTGGCAGCTTGTCGCTATATTTACCCCCTTTGTTCTGTTTGTTGGACCACCTATTCCATCTTACTGCACTTCTCATAGGTTGCTATGGTCGGCAAAGTTCACACTCCGCTGATTCCTGTGCAGAGAAGTCCTTACCCCGGTAAAAACCTTCTCAAGGATCCGGTTTCGGTCGTGGATTCGGAAGCCTTTGAGATTATGAAGAAGGTATTCTTTTGGGTTATCTGCATAAAAAAGAGTTTTGTATTTACTGATCCCGCTCAAAAGCAAGTTCAAAGTAGTTTAATCTCCGTATGAGTTTCAGGAGAAAAGGCGTCAACGTCGTGGTCTCGAACTGATCGCCTCCGAGAATTTCACCACCAAAGCAGTGATGGACACTGTGGGCTCGGCCATGTGCAACAAGTACTCCGAGGGTTACCCAGGTGCAAGGTCTGTTTGTCTCCACCACTCAGATCCCTAGGGTAGCCGTACCAGAGCTGCAATACATTCAGAATTTCAGGTATTACGGTGGTAACGAGTTCATCGACCAGATGGAGCTGTTGTGCCAGAAAAGAGCTCTTGAAGTATCAATTTCGGTATTATAATCCCATTTTTCACCACCTCAGTACCCTGTTATTTAGGTCTTTGGTTTGGATCCCGAACTGTGGGGTGTGAACGTGCAGCCGCTCTCTGGGTCTCCTGCCAATTTTGCCGTATATACAGCTATCGTAGAACCTAATGGCCGTATCATGGGTCTTGACCTTCCAGATGGTGGCCACCTTTCTCATGGGTACGGCTCTGGCTTTTGGGAATTTTGTTGGAAATTATCTGTATCTTCATATTTCAGATTCTTCACTCCCGCTAGAAAAGTATCAGCAACATCGATCTTTTTCCAGTCAATGCCCTACAAGGTACAGTTCCAAATTACAAGTCGACAAGTGTGAGACGCGCATGTCGGGAGTGGGGTAATGCCGTTCGTGGCGTTATTTGAACATTTATCACCTAACCAGCCAGGCTATAAAACGGGTATAGGTGCGTTGGAGGCAGTGAGCACGATTGCAGCTTGTTGCCAGCTTCATTGGAGGAAGGGCAGTAGGACGGCGTTCTGCCAGGCTACCCAACGCTTTTTGGGGGTGTGGCCAACGCCCTTTCACCAATGACGCTGATATAACCGCCCGCCTCCAGCAATCGTGCCCATTGCTTCTAAAGGTTAAGTTCTTCTCAGCTCAGGGCTCAAGATAATTAGCGAAATGTAGTTTTTGTTGTAATGCTTGTTTCATTATGGAGGGTCATACAAAGGTCAAAGTTTGGAATGGCTGAGCAGGTTGCTTCCCCATTGGTCCGTTCCACCTACGAGTTGGAAGTGAGGTACAGTCGTCATCAGGTTAATTGATTATTGCGGTAATGGATGCGATGCGCCACGGGCTGTTTGCGAGCGCGGCGACGATCAGCTGTTTCCAGCCTAATTTAGCGATTTTCTCCCTAGTTTACGCTGTTTTGGCTGCTTTTCTCACGATTAGTTGTTTCTTGTCTTCACAAGTAAATTATGATTGAGATTCTTCTGGTTTTTGCGTACAATTAAACAGTTACAGACAATTGAACAAATACCTGAAAAAACGCAAGAACATTATCAAAGACAGAAAAAAAACACTCTCATCCTAATATTACTGCATCAAGACAATAAAGCAACCAAAAGTAAAAAAATAGAGAGTAATCGTGAGAAAAACAGCCAAAAAGCCGTAAGCTAGGAGAAAATGCTAAAGAGCAGCTGATCGCCAGCTGCTCGCAAAAGTTTCCCCAGGCGCGCGCCCCTCTCCTGCCGCCCCAAGACAAATCACCGGATGACGCTGTATATTAGCATGTAGCGAGAAAGGGCAATAACATAAGCGACCCCGCCCATACGATCATCGTGGAAAGTGCCTACGTGAATGCTTAAGAGCGGCACTATCCTGAACGAGTTATGATGCTTCCAACTGAGCTGATTTTGCCTTTTCGGGTGTTATGATTGCGACTTCGAGCAGACTTAGAAAGACCTTTTTTTCCTCCAGTGCCAAATATGCTGAAGTTTCTAGGCATTTGAAAGGTAAAAAAACTGAAATAGTGAAGCAGTTGTTTTAGAACCATTTTGTTTTCTGAATCGATGAATATGGAAACTGCTCTATGCACAGTGTTGGATCCGACGCACTGCTTGATTGACTTACTGACCGCATGGAGGAGAACTCGATGGCTGTTCAGGCCCTAACGTTTTGGTCGCAGCGTGATCCTCTAAATATTTCCGAGAAATACCTCCAGAATAGTTTTGTTTAAGGAGTGTCCCTGCTATGCGCGTCACTTGGACTATGCTCGATTCCGAAAAATCGCCGACAAGGTTTTACATATAGGCTCTAGTATTTGGCAACATGCCAGCTTTTCCAATAGATTTTGCTGTAGGTGTATTTTTGATAGAAGCTTTTCAGTGTGGGGCATATCTGATGGCGGACATGGCTCACATTTCTGGATTGGTAGCCGCTGGCCTGATTCCGTCACCATTCGAATATGCCGACGTCGTCACAACAACCACCCACAAATCACTTCGAGGACCTCGTGGAGCGTTGATCTTCTTCCGCAAAGGTTTCCATATTCCGGACCTCTACCTACTATATTTACTATGAGATTTGTTTCTAGGTGTTCGATCAACGAATGCAAAGGGCGAGAAGATTATGTACGACCTAGGCGACAAGATCGCTGCAGCCGTCTTCCCTGGTCTCCAGGGAGGTCCCCACAATCACACTATCGCAGGTAGGGTTTCGTTTTCTGTCAGAACTACAGCAGTGGAACCTAGAAGTCGAAAAATTAGATTGAAAATGTACCTCAGGAAACTTTTCAAATCCCACTTCGGATGGGCTTCGTCAGGGTCACTGGTGAATTCGCCCTGAGGGGTGTAGCCCAACTCCTTTTCATCTATGGGGTTAGCAACGTATCCCCAGCCAGCATGGGCCGGTGGCTCTAACCTGATCGGAAAAACAGGAAAAGCTCTGTTTTCATACTCGAATCGGCGCTGATTACTGCCTATAACTTGTGAAAACAGTTACTACTTCATCTATGAAGGCAGCTGTCACCTCAGAATTTAGGAATCGCTGTTGCGCTCAAGCAATGTCTTACTGAGGAGTTTGTGGACTATGCAAAGCAGATATTGGCAAACGCTCGCGCTTTGTCTGAAAAGCTCATCTCCTTAGGCTATTCTTTGGCTACAGGTAATTTTCTTTGTGAATAGGTTTACTGATTAATAGAATTCAAGGATACTATATTCTATTAGCTGAGTTCTGTGAATACTTCCGTGTATAACA